CGGAGGGGTCCGTCGACCAGGGTTTTGCTCGACGTGAGCTATGGTCGACAAGGGAGTCGTCGACCAGAGCACTAGGTGGTAGACGAGCACATACAACTTTCAGTTGACTTTCCCCGAGGAAGTCGAGGCCGACCTGGTGGTATCCGGGTCGACCAAGTCACCTGGGTGACGAGGTTCTGCGGAGGCACGCGAACATCGTCGAGGTCGCAGTGACGAAGGCGGCATCGGGTTCGTATCTTGAAGTCGATGTGGCTTGTCAGGTGCAGACAACAGCCGACGGATGCACAACGATGCAAGTCAGGCCAATCGTCTGCACGCACTTGCCTACGTATGCACTACTTTCTTCTACGGGTGTAACCCTAGACAGCCGCTGTACTGCAGCGTTGGCACGCCGTCGACCTGCTGCGTTGGCAGGTTGCCTTTCTGCAGTGCTGGCACGACTCCTCTACGCAACGCTGGCAGGCGGTCGACCATGCAGTGCTGGCGGTTGACCAGGTTGGCTGCTGAGTTGCTAGTTGCCCGATGTAGTCATATTATTGTCTTTGTCAATCCAATCATTCTGTGATGCAATCTTTGCCGAGTGGAAACTCTTGCCAAATTCTTCCGTGAATGTGCAAGTGCTAAGGAACTACGCAAAGCTACGATCACTCCTAGAGATCGTGCCAACACCCTGTAGACTAGCTCACGACAATTGTAGAGTGACTCTCCGCATGGTGCGTTGAGCATGGACGGCCCCGCATGTTACCTTCAGATAGGACTCCACTTTTGCACCTACTAAGTCGTTCGTAGATCGGTAGCCACGTTAGTCGCCATGGTCGACCCTGTTGTTGAAGGGGGCGTAACGGACACCTTGGAGGCACGTTTGGCTAATGCGCGGAAACGCATTGAGAATGGTGAGTACGGGAAGGTCCCCTTGGCGATTGTCGAGTTTGGCATCCGAGCGCAGTGGGCGACGGAGAACCCTTCTCGTCCTGCATCTCCTCGACCGATACGAAACGAAGGTGGCGTCGACGATGAGGTCAACGGTGGTGCACGAGTCAGCTGCAGCGATGGCATGAAGAAGAGAGGGGTGATTAAGGTCGACGGTGGCGTCGACTGGAGTCAAACGCAACTGCAGCAGTCGACGGCAGCCGCAGGCAGCTCGCGGGTCGAAGTCGATGGTCGACGTCGCTCTCCTCTACGAAGCGGTGGAGAGCTCTTGGCAACAACGCATGTGACGGCGGACAGGATCGCACCCACGTATGACTACTTCAAGTTTTCACCGGACAGGATCACCGTCACACCGCTGCAAGGTCAACGGGACCTCATCACCTGGAGGGAGTCGATATGAACACAGCTGGAGGTCGCCCGGCTGAAGGGCTTCGCTGTCGGCACTGTGCCAATTCCGCCCGAGGACGATGTTGAGCTGCTTGTGGAGTTCCGTGCTGCTCACTTGCTCAGCTTCATGGTCATGTCGAGGTGCTGCTCGCCGGTGGTGCAGCTAGCGCTCAGGTCATGTCGAGAGCGACTAGATGCTGGTCACCAAGCACGACACTTCATCCTGTTGAAGTACCAGGCGAAGGACGACCTGTACATCGGACAGCTGGAGGAGCAGATGACAAACCTTCGGATGGGCGAGCAGGAGCCGACGACGGACTACTGCAACCACGCTCGACGAATCCTGGCTAAGATGCGGATGGCGGACATTGAATACGCAATAGTGTCCTATATCACCCACGTCGTCAAGGGCCTGCCGCGCAACTACAACCTCATGAAGAGGATGATGATGGTGCCTGGCACGCGTGAGTCCCTCGACGAGGACTCCTTCACTAGCTAAGTCATTCAAGACGAGCCTCTGCAGGAGGCAGAGCAGCCCACGGAGGTCCTTCCGCACACGAGTTACGCTGCACCAACGAAGCCGAATCGTCAGCAGGAGCAGCGCGGGAAGCTGGGTGGAGGTGGTAGCGGAGGTGGGTGGTCGACGAAGGACATCGACGAGAAGAGGTCAACGCAGAGCAAGAGCCGTGGAGGTGGTGGTCGAGGGGGGAGTCCTGGATCTGCCACAACCTCGACCATCTCTCCTACAAGTGCCCCAAACGCGGCGACAGCGACGAGGACGACAACAAGGGAGACGGCGGTCGGTCGACCAGTTGTTGCCCCCGTCAAGATGAGAAGCCGCGCAAGGAGAAGCAGACGTCGAAGAAGACGTCGTCGACAAAGGACGTCAACAACTCCAGCGGCAAGGGCCGAGGCGACAAGGAGGCGTCATGCTCGATGGTTGGCGTGGTGGAGCCGACGGTCTCACTGGCGCCGAAGGCTGGCGAGGACTTCCAGGCGGTGGCGGTAGCTGTGTAAGCCAACCCGATGGCGGTGCTGCTCGATAGCGGTTGCTCCCATCACTTGATGGGGACGAAGGCGGTCTTCGTCGACATGGCGTCGAGCGACGGTGTAAAGCACGTTCGTGGATTCAATGAGGCGTTGCAGCCTGTCGAGTGTCGCGGAACCGTCGCGCTGTAAGGGGAGGCCGGGAAGCGAGTCCTCATCCCAGACGTCCTCTACGTCCCGGGAGTACAAGCGAACCTGCTGTCAGCTGGTCAACTAAAGGAGAGCGGAGTGCAGGTGCAGGACAATGGCGCCGAGACGCTGCTCATTGCTGCGACCGGGGAAGTGCTTGGTCGAGCACACTACACCGGACAAGTCCTCTGTACCGACCTTTGCCCCTGCTCGGCACGGTCGTTGCCGACAGGGGTGGTGGCTTTGCGGACGATCGTCTCAGCGAGGAAGTCGACCCCCGACCGGTGGCCACGCGAGGCTCGCGCACGTCGGCGTCGACACGATCAAGAGCTCAGCGAAAACATAAAGTTGCTACATGGCTCGATATCACGCCGTCGACCTGAGCAGACCCGCCGTGTGCCTCGTGCGTCGGAGGAAAGCTGGCTCGACACACCTTCCCGACAAGGCCTCGGACGCCGAGGAGGCCCTGGCAGTCGTGCACATTGACTTGTGCGGGCCATTTTGGGTGGCTGCGAAGGATGGCAGCTTGTACTTCCTGCTGCCACACTTGGTTCGTGTGGGTGATGCCAGACGCTAAGAAGAGCGACGTGCTGCGGAAGTTTCAGTAGTGGCTGGTGCTGGTAGAGCGGCAGACAAAGAAGTCGGTGCTGATGCTCCACTCAGACCGAGGAGGGGAGTTCCTTGGGAAGGAGTTCACCAACTTTGTCAACGGGAAGGGCATAATCCACGACCTGACGTGCCCCTACACTTCACAACAGAACGACATGGCTGAGCGGGAGATGCGCACGGTTGTCGAATCCGTGTGGACGATGCTTCTGCACATGGGCGTGCAGCACCACTGGTGGCACCTCGCCCTACGACAAGCTCTCTGGGTGCGCAACTGCTTGGAGCGGTCGACGACGCCGCCGAGGACGACTCAGTACAAGCTGCTGACCATGAAGAAGCCCGATCTCACGTTGGCACGGGTGTGGGGCTGCATGGTGTAGTTCATGGTCCCCGAGCAGCAGCGCTATTGGAAGCTAACGCTGAAGGCTCGCTGGGGGCTTCACGTGAGCGTGTCACCGGAGAGTAAGGGCTGGGAGGTCCTCGACCTGATCGACAACAAGGTAGTCACGTCGGTCGAGGTGATCTTCTACGAGACGCTGTCACTGGAGGTGCGGAAGGCAACGTATGGGCCGGCGTCGAGGCGAACGCAGGCACACCAACCGACGGATACCTTGACGGCGACGTTCCCACTTCTCGCCGAGGTCAACGGGCCTGCTGATGAGGACGTCGAGGAAGTCCTCCCTCCACCCCCTGCTCTTGCTCTTCCCGCCCCCATCGCAGATCTGCCTTCGTCGACTCCTTTGTCGGCCACCAGCGATGAGGGGAGCCTTGAGGCGTCGCCTGTGGTGCCGACCAGAGGCATCGCCGGCGGCCGACAAGGCGCCAAGCTTGTCGACAATGATGTGAAGCCATCGACGACTGGGAAGAAGCAGACAGGGGAGCCGGTCGAACAGGAGGCAGCAGCAGGGGTGCAGTCGACAGGGGAGCAGCAGACGTGGCGGTCGACAGGGGGCTGTCAAAGTCAACATGAGGTGAGCACTCAAAGGGTCAAAGCAGCTTGTCAACGACGAGGGTGTCGATGATGACGGAGAGCTGTCGGCAGGAGAGGAGTCCACCAACAGCAACGTGGTGGAGGTGCCAATCAAGACGCCTGAGCCGCAAAGCTCAGAGCTTGAGTTGCGACGTTCAGGTCGAACTCGGAGGCCACCGAAGTAGCTGAGCTACCACGCCTGTCTCCCACCTTCTGATTTCACCACGGTGTACGACGACGCTGACGATGACCTGCTGTACAACGACGCTGAAGATGACGTTGACCTGCCCGAACCCGACCCGGATGTTAACGCCGACCCCGAGCACCGCTGGGGCATCAAAAGGATGATGGTGAAGGAGGCGCTGACGAGCGAAGCGGTGAAGGGCGCCATGGACGAGGAGATCCGCAGCCTCATCTGCATGGGCAACTGGTCGAATGGCCCCGCGGGGTGAACACCATGAAGAACCGGTGGGTGCTGATGACCAAGTACCGCATCGACGACACCGTTGAGCGCGAGAAGGTGAGGCTGGTCGTGAAGGGCTTCATGCAGGTGTATGGCACCGACTATGACGAGACATACTCGCCGGTGAGCAGCTACAATACAGTGAGGATCTTCCTCAGCATCGTCACCATCCTCGTGTTAAAATTATATTTAATATCTATCCTGATTGCTCTAGTTGTTGTAGTCTAGTTCTTTTATTGCTTGTTTGGTGGTGCACCTTTGCTAGTTTGCTATTTGTACCTTGTGTGATATAGTGAACACGACCATTCTTGCTTCCCTTGGCTACAATTCTCTCGACATACGTTGGCCTAGGCTACTAAGCCTATGCCCTAAACCCCTTACGCTAGTACTTTGACATGGTATTGAGCTAGGTCCGATTAGGACCGTTTTCAAATGGGCCCACCATTAGCGCTCGCAATGGCGCGCCCCTTAGTGCACCTCATGAGCGCTTTCCCATTTTAGGCCCGTCGCCCGCGCATTACCAGCAACGCACGCCACCGCGCACGCCATGAACGCACCAGAAACACCAGGAACGGACCTGCCAGCAAGCACGCCGGCGGACCCGCCAGCAAACCCGCCGAGGGACCCGCCGTTGGTTTCGCCAACGAGAGCGCCAGCAAGCCCGCCGACGGCCCTGCCAGGAAACCCGCCGATGGACCCGCCGTCGGGCCCGCCAACAAGAGCGCCAGCAAGCCCACCGACGGACCCACTGGTGGACCCGCCAGCGCTCGAGTCAACACGCCCACCGACGAACCCGCCAAAAGGCCCGCGAGCGAGCCCGCCAATGGACCTGCCGCCGTCACGCTGCCTCGTCGCGGCTCCCTGGCGCGGAAACAGCGACGGTCGCAGTGGGGGCGAAGAGGAGAGGGGGAAAGGAGTGGAGGCCGCCAGCGCCAGCATCCACCAGTCACGCCTCCTCCCCGCCCGCCCTCCCGTCGACTTCGCAACTGGTGTAAAGGGAGTGGTGGGAGTGGCGGGGGTGATGAGAGTGGCGGGAGAAGCTGCTTCCACACTGCTCCACGCGCCAGATCGCTCGCGACCCGCACCTTGCACCCCATCCGGCCCCTTGCCACCATCAGTGGACCCTATAACCCCTCCCGTTCTAGTTCCCCGTCCCGCCCAGCGCACCACACCTGCCATCGGACCTGCCAGCCGCTAGCACCAGCACCAGCACCAGCGCCAGTCACCAACGTCAGCACCGGCACCAGCGCTAGTCACCAGCGCCAGCACCAGCACCAGCACCAGCACCAGCACCAGCACCGTCACGCCAGCACCAGGCACCGGCACCAGCGCCGTCACGCCAGCACCAGGCACTAGCACCAGCAGCTACACCGCCAGCAGAGACCCCGCCAGCAGCTACACCGCCAGCAGAGATCCCGCCTCCTCTTTCTCTCGCTCACTCCCGCCTTTGCCGTTGGGTGGGGGATTGCTGAGGGGGTGGCGGTAAGGATTCTGCATGGACTACCGTGGGTGGGGCAGGGGTGTGGAGGAAGGAAGCGGGGAAGGGGGTGCGGTCCCAGGGGGCGGTTGTTATGGCGGGGTGAGGTTAAGCGGGGGTGGTTGAATGGGTGTGGGGATTTGGGGGCTACTAAGAGGGGTTTTGCCGCGCTTAGCTCCCCCCCACCTCCTCTCCTCGTCACTCTCTCACCTCCCCTCTTTGTAAAAAAGGGTTACTACGAGGGCTTCGCCAGAGGTGGCTCCCCCTCAACTCTGTCAAAGGGAGTTGTTGTTGGCCCCGTCCTCGCTTGGGCGGAGCCGACTTCGTGGTTGGGTGTACGGGAGGTACAGCCGACTTGCAACAGTGGGCGACGCCGACTTGGGCGAGCTGGTCGACGGGGTTGGTCGACTTGCACGGGGCCACTGCAATGCCGCCGACTTGGGAAGCCGGCGGCCGACTTCAACTGGTGGTCGGCGATGTGGTGCGTTGACCTGGAAGTCGGCGCCGACTTGCAAGGTCGCCGACTTGCGAGGTCGCCGACTTGCGAGGTCGCCGACTTGCGAGGTCGCCGACTTGCGAGGTCGCAGACTTGGGAGGTCGCCGACTTCAAGAGGTCGGCCTGGAAGTCGGCGCCGACTTGCAAGGTTGCCGACTTGCGAGGTCGCCGACTTGGGAGGTCACCAACTTCAAGAGGTCGGCTTGGAAGTCGGCGCCGACTTGGTGACGCCGACTTCGGATAGCCGACTTGGGTGGTCGGCTAACAACTGCGCTGGTCGACAAGGAGCTGGTCGACCAGGAGTGATGTCGACATGGAGCTGGTCGACCAAGGGTGTGGTCGACCTGGTGAGGTCGACTTGGAGTGGTCGTCGACTTGGAAGGTCGACGGGCACATACAAGAGCAGCTGGTTGACGTGGTTGCCCGGTCGACCAGGTTACCTGGGTGACAAGGCTCTGCGGAGGAGTGCGACGGTCGCCAAGGCAAAGTTGGCGAGTCCGACCTCAGTGGTGGTATCCCGAGGTCGACGTGGCTGATCAGGTGCAGTCCTCATTACCAAGTTGACTTGGTGTGTGCGTTGTTCAGGTGACAAGGCTCAGCGCGCCAATCATCTGCGAGCACCTGCGAAGCTGGTGCGATGCTGTACTGCGGGAGAAACGCTGGCACGCCGTCAACCTACAGCGTTGGCACGCCGTCGACTTTGCACTGCTGGAGCGCGGTCGACCAAGTCGTGCTGGAACGCGGTCGACCATGCTGCGCTGGCAGTCGACCGACCTGAATGCTAGCTCTGATGTAGTCTTGTCTTGCCAACTTCATTATACCATTGTTGTCAATTTTCTCTAGTGAAACTCTTGCCCAATTGCCCTGTGACCTAGCAAGCAGTGTGTGCACTAGGAAAACGACTAAGGAACAGAGAACGCGGAGATCACACGAGCATCCGTGCCTAGCCCGTAGTTTAGCTCCCGTTGTAGTAGTTATCTCCGCAATCTCCTCGCCTCATCCCTCCCTCACCTCCTCCTTCGTACTTCTCCTCTCCTCTCTCCCTCTCGCCTCCTCCTCCTCATTTAACTCTCTGCCGTCTTCCACTGCGCTAGGTGTACCCCTTCAAGGAGTGACTGCACTAGTTATTACTGCAAGCAGGCTAAGGGGGTGTGTTAAAGTTATATTTAATATCTATCCTGCTTGCCGTTATTATTGTAGTCTAGTTCTTTAATTGCTTGTTTGGTGGTGCACCTTTGCTAGTTTGCTATATGTACCTTGTGTGCTATAATGAACATGAACATTCTTGCTTCCCTTGGCTACAATCCTCTCGACATACGTTGGCCTAGGCTACTAAGCCTAGGCCCTAAACCCCTTACGTTAGCTTGTTTGGTGGTGCACCTCTGATAGTTAGCTATATGTACCTTGTGTGCTATAGTGAACGCGACCGTTCTCGCTTCCCTTGGCTACAATCCTCTCGACACATGTTGGCCTAGGCTACTAAGCCTCGGCCCTAAACCCCTTACGTTAGTACTTCAAAACCTTGACCTCAACCTAATGCAGCTCGACATGAAAAACGCTTTCTTGCAGAGTAAGCTCGACCGGATTCTGTACATGTACCAACCGGACTACTTCGACGATGGGACCGGCCGGGTGTGCAAGCTGTTGAAGAGCCTCTACAGGCTGAAGCACTCGCCGCTACTATGGTACAGGGCTCTCGACCGCGTGTCGTTGGGCACTGGGTGGAAGAAGAGCCAAGTCAATATGATGCTCTACTTCAAGGTCGGCGACGACAGAGTAACCTGTTGGGTGCTGGTCTACGTCAACAACCTGCTCGCCGCCACCAGCACCACTGCGATGCTGAAGGAGCTGCTCGAGGCCGCCTTTGAGCTGCGCGATATCTCGCCGGTCGTGAAGTACCTCGGGCTGGAGATCATGCGCGACAGGCAAGCGAGGAAGCTGAGGCTGCACCAGCAGACTTACGCCAGCAAGCTGTGTAGGCGCTTCATTGACGAGGAGCGGACCGAGCGCATCCCAAAGACGCCGGTCTTGGTCGACGCCTATACCAAGCTGACATTTGACGACGAGGAGGCGCAGGAGCGCAAGGAGGAGTACAGGCAGAAGGTGGGCTCGCTGCAGTTTGCGAAAACGACGACAAGGCCGGACATCGCGTTCGCCTGCAGCACGCTGAGAAGCGGCCTCATGGTGAGGAGCGACCAGCTTTGGCGCAAGGTCGACCGCTGCCTCGCCTACCTCGCCGACACCCGCGACACCGCCCTGGAGTTCGGCGGTGGACCAGAGTCACTGGAGCTGATCGGCTACGTGAACGCCGACGACGCGGTCGAGAAGCAGAAATGGACGAGCACGGGCGGCTACGTGTTTGTCTACGGAAAGCCACCATCTCCTACTCGAGCTTGCGCATCAAGTGTGCGACTTTGTCGTTGACCGAGTCGGAGTACGTGGCGGCCACGGATGCTGGCAAGGAGGGATGCCGACTCCGATTCCTCCTTGCAGAGTTCTAGTAGCTCGATGTTGGGAAGCCGACTGTCCTCCGAGTGGACAACAAGTCGGCCATCTCGGTCGCTGAGGGCTTGGGGCTGACGGGCAACCTCAAGCACATGGAGCGACGCTACGCCTGGCTGCAGCACATGGTGAGGCGCGGGAAGTTTGTGCTGAAGTGCATTCCGACCACCGAGCAGCCGGTTGACTTCTTGACAAAGGCGCTGCATTTTTCGGCTTTCAACCGGTGCTCTATCGCCATCGGCCATGTTCGCCTGGCCGACGTCGGCGACGACGACGATGATGTGCAGCAGTAGGTGTTGTGCCCTTTTGCACGGCTGGTGTGGTGACGACGTGCTGTGTGTAGGGTGCATGGTGAGGACGAGTTTCTCCGTGGAGTACTGCCGTGTGGGGTGGAGAGTGTTAACGGGAATGGAGTGTTGGCCCCGCCCTCACTTGGGCGGTGCCGACGTCCTGGTTGGATGCACAGGAGAAGCACCCGACCGTACGCAGTGAGGGAGGTGCTCGACGGGCCTCGTCGAGCTGCAGGGGATCGCTGCGGTGTTGTCGTCGTCCAAGGAGTTCGACGGCCTTCGTTTACGGGGCAGGTCGACAAGGTGGTCGTCGACTTGCACATCTCTGTCGCAAGGCTGGAGCCGTCGACCAGGGGTGCTCGACGGCTGCAGCTGACCAAGCTGGTCGACGGGCGGGCCGTCAACCAGGAGGAGAAGTTCGACGGGGAGGTCGACGAAGCAGTCCGTCGACCTGACATGAAAGCGACGGTCGATGAGGGAAGCTCGGCGTCAGCAACCGACAGTGCTGGTCTACGAAAGGGTCCGTCGACCAGGGTGTTCCTCAACAGGAGCTTTGGTCGACAAGGGAGTTGTCGACCAAAGCACTAGGTGGTCGACGAGCACGTACAACTTTCAGTTGACTTTCCACGAGGAAGTCGAGGCCGACCTGGTGGTATCCGGGTCGACCAAGTCACCTGGGTGACGACGCTCTGCGGAAGCACGCGAACGTCGTCGAGGTTGCAGTAATGAAGGCAACTTTGGGCTGGTATCCATAGTTGATGTGGCTCGTCAGGCGTAGACAACAGTCGACGGATGCACAACGATGCAAGTCAGGCCAATCGTCTGTGCGCGCATGCCTACGTACGCACTACTTTCTTCTACGGGTATAACGCTAGATAGCCGCTTTACTGCAGCGTTGGCACGCCGTCGACCTGCTGCGTTGGCATGTGGCTTTTCTACAGTGCTGGCGCGGCTCCTCTACGCAACGCAGGCAGTCGGTCGACCATCCAGTGCTGGCGGTCGACCAGGCTAGCTGCAGAGTTGCTAGGTGCCTGATGTAGTGATTTTCTTATCTTTCTCAATCCAATAATTTTGTGATGCAATCTTTGCCTAGTGGAAACTCTTGCCAATTTCTTCCATGAATGTGCAAGTGCCAAGGAACTACGCAAAGCTAAGATCACTCCTAGAGTTTGTGCCAACACCCCGTGGTTTAGCTCAAGACTATTGTAGAATGGCTCTCCGCACCGGCTGACTCAACCGCCATTGCAACCACACAATGTCTCATGGCGGTCTACCCGCTCGTCTTCTGTTCTCAGCTCCAGTTGTGAGGTTGAGATATACGTAGGGGCCATGGCTGCACAGGAGTTACGCTGGCTCACCTACCTACTGACCAACTTGGGTGAGCCGCCTAGTTCTCCTCCGATTCTGTACGTCGACAACAAGGCCATGATTGCCTTGTGTCAGGAGCACAGACTAGAGCACAGGACGAAGCACATTGCTTCGCGTTACTTCCTTGCTCGAGAGTTGCAGCAGTGTGGACAGCTTCATCTTGCTTACGTGGCCTCTCGGGCCAACACTACTGATATTTTCACCAAGGGACTTCAGCCTTGTGATCATCAGCGTTTTTGTACTATTCTAGGCCTTGTGCCTACTTGGCCTCACTTGCTCACTTCTTGACTTTGTTTGTACTGTGATCTATATACTTATACCTGCATGCTTACTCTTGCTAGGTTTTTATCAATGTATTGCTTGT